AAGTTACAACTTTTCTACAAGAAGACTAGGTTCCTAACAAATGATTACTGATAGGAAAGAAGATTTAATTCATGATTCCTAGGGTTTCTTTTTAGAAAGAGAAATAGACTAAGTCCATACAAACCAAAATTTATTGTATAAATAATGCATTGTATCCAGGACTATATATATAAAGAGCAAAAAAGATACTTACAGTGAATAGACAAAAAAGAGGTAAATATATATGACTGTAACCTGAAGTAAAGCAAGAACATTGCACACTCGACCTGAGGACCTTTCTGAAAAGCTTGGAGTTGAGAGTGAGCGGTAAGCTGAAATTATTTCCTGACCAAAAGAAAATGTTCATACTTGACAATGATTATTGTCTTGAAATTAGTGGATGGTTACTGTTACTCGTAACGTCTTTCTTTTAAAGTTGGTGAATCATAATAGGAGATATTTTTGCAATATATACAAGTGTAACAAGCCTATAGTGGAATGGTAGTATACTGGTAAGCTAGAGACAAGATGTACAGAGGAGTTAGTCAATGAAAGGGTTAATAGGTAAGGAGAACACAGTAGATAAAACCCAAGAAGAAATGTTAATAGAAAGAGGCATCTAGTGAAGTGACATGGCCTAACTTACCTGTAAGAGCAGAGAAATAGTACCAAAAGAATTCCATAACAAACATGCCAAATCTTCGTGAACCCCTTTATTCTGGGAAAACAAGATTATAAAAAACTGCACGTGTTAAGATCAATTGACAAGACATATTTCAAAAAATTCAATAAATAATATAATTGGTGGCATTCAATTAAAAAAAATTTCAATAAAAATATGCAAGCTATGACCCAATTGCCAAATTCTTAAGCTTGTTGCTGCTTACAGTTGATTAATAAGACTTGAAGAACTGATTTTTTTATGAAGTGATAGTCATCAAAAAGGAGATAGAGGTTGGCAAACTTTGAACCTCTTAGGTGTATATAAGAAATCCAGAACAAAGGTAGGAAAGGAAAATCACGCAACAAGGATGAATCTACCTTTGAATAAAAAATAGAGACAAATCTATCCACAAAATTTACAACTTGGACAAATCACCCTAAATTTAATATATGATGTTAGATGATGTCAACAATCTGTTAACTTATTGTGCCCCTAATAGGTTCATTGTTAATAGATTGCTAACATCATTTAACATTACACATTAAATTTCGAATGATTTGTCTAAATCAAAAACTTTGTGGGTAGAATTATCCTTGTAATTTTGTTTAGGAGTGAATCTATCCTTACTGCCTAACTTTGAGGTGAATTTGGACATTTTACCAAGTAGGAAGAACAATGAGAATAATTGGAATGCTAGTAGCTTGCCATGCATAAATATCAGTTTACATCTCTACTCATTTAATACCATATAAACATTATACAATTACAATGAATTTCCGTTGAGAAAAAAATCACAATCAAATTATAATTAATAATGTTGTAGTCTACTTCACACACTCCCTGCCATATTCATCTCTTATAGTTTAATAGTTGTAATGACTAGAATTGACTTTCGAAATTGATCGCATATTTTAATACATTCTCATGACTTTAATGAAACACAAAAAATAAATTTAAGATACCTAAAGTCCAATCCATTATTCCTTCGAATAATACACATCATGCTAAACATACAATTTCTTTTTAAATTATATGCCCCTTCTTTTTCCCCATTCTTTTATCTAGCCAACTTCTTTACAAGAGCACACTTGTTTTAGGAGAACTTAATACACCTCCGGTAGCAAAGCAAATTCATGCAAACTATTGCCTAAACACCTAATTTCCTAAGTTTGGTTCCCACCTCAAGATTCTTAGGAATCTAAGGTAGTGTCATAGTCACATAAAATAGCCAACTATCTCAATTTTAAGCTTAAACAAATAGCTGACTATCTCAATAATAGTTGACAATTCAAAAGTTATTTTTCTATGGAAATCACAAGCTAAACATAAGCTAAATTAAAATGTAAAAAAAAAAAATCCCAAATTGCCATTATTAGTGACTTTCTAGGAAAAGGTAGTCACTTCTCCTAAATAAACATGCACTAAATTTTAAGCTTTATTGTTACAAACCAATTAGTTCAATTAATTCTAAATCTTTTCTTTCTCAGCTTTCATGATCATTTTAATAGATGTTTTGCAACTAATTAATTATATAAGGCATTTTTATTGATGGGAATCAAGACGACAGCATATCTACCACGTCATGTGATCCATTACACACCTAAGCAAATCGAAACTTGGATGATTATCAAGGCATGATAAACATCATTCAGGTTCAAGAGAAGCTTAATTGAGGTCATTTGTGCTAAATTACACAGTTTGCGTCAATCTCGCAATTCTGTCGCAATTTGTAACAAACTGATATTTCATATTACTTTAGGCTACTTTTAGTGATTTTGACGTTTTTTATATTATTTTGGGTTGAACATTCATTTATTTAAGGCCCAATTCGTGGTTATTATGATTAGGGCTTAGGGTGTTAGTTTCCTATTCCGATTAGAATTACTTTTCCCTATTTAAAGAGGCTTGTAACCCTAATTGAGGAGGCTATTGAATCTGAGATTTTGAG